TGTCCCCTCATGTCAGCATCTTAGGGAATAAAAAAGAAAACATAGTACTTGTAAAATAGGCAGAGAGAACACCTAACTTCCAGCTGGGGTATCTAACCTACAGGTCTTTGAGAGGCAGAAAATTCCTCATGTATTTCCATATTTAAATGCGATCTGGGGATTTTAGTGTGGAATTAGCATTTTCTCCACCATATTACATTTTCCCTCGATATTCAAAGTTCTTCCCTCCAGATATTCAAATGGTGTCTCTGGACTGATCCTCTGTGTGAGTGTGCCGTGATGTTTGTCTTCATGTGGCGCTGTGACGAACTGGCAATCTGTCCAGGTTGTCTCCAAAGGACAGCTGGAATAAGCCCCAGAAACCTCAAATAAAATTGATGGTTGCTTGAATGTTAAGTTTACATAAAACATCTGTGTGCATGTGGATTGTTTGTTTTTCTGCCAGAAGACAGGGTTATGCTCAGTACGCCTAAAATGAGGTAGTAAGCAACAAAGTAAGACAAAGACAACAAAGTAACACCTTTGCCATACATGAAAATGTGGTGATACCTAACGTTTGACAGTTAACAAGTCCTGTGTGTAACCAGGGTGTAAATTATTAGCATCTTTAACTGTTGTTTTTTCAGTGTCATCTGTTGGATTCACCACAGGCATGTATCCAACACCGCATGTGCTCATTATTCCTCCGAAGGGAGACTTGAACTGAATGCTACTAAATGCACATAATTATCGTGAAGCTTTTTTTAGTCCGACTTTGTGTTTAATTCTGTTTGTTCTATGTGATTTTCTTTTTCTTGGCTGTATGTGTTAATAATGATACAGCCTCGGTATATGAAGCCCAATATGGATCTTTTTCACAGTTTAGCATTGATAATATTCTATAAAAGTGAGGTGGGGGTTTTACTTCAGTCTCCACATCAGAAAGTGTGATAAGAAGCCATTATCACTTTCTGACAACAGTTAAAAACAACAAACCTGCAGTGTGCCTTAATGCCAGATGGATCATTTGTCTGCAGATGCGAGATAACATCTGTAAGTCACTTGTTGCTGCACTAAGTAAAACTGAATCCACAATCAGTATGAATAAAGTTGATAATGTACCAACTTAACAAACAATGATAAACTAAATTATAATAAATAAGCATAAATCAATATGTGGTGATGTTTGGATTCTTCCCTAAAGCTACAGACAAATCCCAGTGTCCAAAATGTAAGAAACATTTCAGTTTTTCAGATTTGTATTTGAACAATGGAAAGAACATATTCTTCACCTACCTACAACTCTCAAGTTGCTGTTTTTGTTATGCCCCATTTCATTATTAAACCTTACAGCTATTGATTGAAATAGTTTTTTTTCTGAGAAAAAATGGAGCGATGAAGCACGCCAGGGAATTATGCGTGATAAACATATATGAGAGGTGTGCCGCTCATTTTAATGTAATTTTAAATGCATTAATGTACAAATGGACATTAATCATTCAGTCTTTCAGAGCATGGAAATATTCCATCCATCCATCTTCTTTACTGCTTATTTCCAGTGGTGTCCCGGTATTTATTGTTTAATAAAATACAGAGATGGTGGAATACAAAGATTTTATGCTCAACTGGGACAAAATGGTTTGCTCATTTTCCAACTTAACTTGATGGTGCACTTCGTTTCTCAAAATGTATCTGAAGTTAATCGTGTCAAACATATGCTCTTACCCTCTGAGAGCTTTTGTTGTAATACGTGATAAGTAATAAATAAAATTACATATTTACTTAATAAAAAAACATAGAAGTGTCCTCAGCTAGACTGGTACCCTGGGAGCAGTATTGGAGTGTTCCAAGTTTTTAAAATTTGTTTTTATCTGATATAATGACACTCCTGATGGTAAAAGTACTCCCTTTTAATTCATTGAGAAAATTCAAAACAGTCAAACATTTCAGATGAATACCCTGAATAGGGAATTTATCCAGCCAAGATCAGAATATGTTTAAGATAAGAATTTAACTAAAACATCTAAACTAAGACACCCTTAAGAAAATTCTACTTAGAGAACTGATCAGCCTTTGATTTGAGATTTGAGAAAAGATCTATATCTACTCTGTTCAGTGCATATTCAAGTATGACTCATTGAAGCTTCTGGCAGCTCTTACAAAACTGACCCATTAAACTTCTTGAAAGATATCTGATTGACTTGAGAAAATATGTGCAACTGAAAACATTTGGCACGGAGGGGAATTCCAGAGAGCTGAAAAACAGTTCAAGCTCTCAAATGTGCACATCTCACAGAATGCTGGGTGTTATTCTAATGAGAATGGAGTAATACCTGGAGTGTGTTTCATGAGCTTATACCATAAATGGTATATTCTTGTGTGCCATGTAGGAAATGTCTATATTGCAGATGGGAAATGAAAAGATATCTGTAATTCTTGAAGCATTCGTTTTTTTTTTACTTGAAACTGGAAAAAAGACAGTAGCAACGCTGTGGTGCTGGTGTGTCCATGAGCATTTATCCTCTTCAAAAAAGAAACTGAAGCTGTTCACAACAACTCACATAGCAGCAGGTGAGCTGTGAGTGAATGACTTGTGATCCTTCTATCATTGTGTCACCTGTAGAACTTATTTCCTACGAAATACCCTAAAAAAATCATAATGCATTATCTCAGTGACTGGTATGAAAAACTAGGCTCATTCTATGCATTTTTACATGACAAAACTATTGTCACCACGGAGTCGTGCCTATAGACTCCAGTGACTTCATGGTAGTAAACTCAATTTTCTTGGCTCTGTGGAAATTTATGTATACATATAAATGCTCCATTTATAAAAATGTACAATGGCAAGAACAGAAAAGTATCTCATTGCCTCATTAAATGCCCTGTCAGCAGTTTCACAAATAAATGTTGTTTTGTGCTAGGATTTTTTTCATTTATCGACCTCTCACAAGGTTTTACAACAGGAACCACATGCAAAAAGTCGACATACATATTAATGCAGTTCTCTAACTCTATAGGCGCACAGCCCATTGATCCAACCACCGATAGATTACTTAAATACTGCAGGTGGTGAGCCAATAACAGCAACTGTGAGCAACATTGAGTGGCACATATAGCTATTTTACCACTTCCATTAAGTACACCTGCTACTGAAAGAATGTCAACAGATGTACCATCAAAATGTGCAAGATCCTACAAATGACTGTTAAGATGTAAATGGAATTTTTAAAATGCAGGACCCATGAGAAATTGAAATGTATTTTACCTGATTACTGGCCATTTCCCTTAGCTCAGAGTTAACTGCTGATGCTGGAATGCACATAAGGGAAATGAATGTGACAATATGTGTAATGTGAGTTTATACAACCCCTTTCACCTGTGTTTACACAACTTTTATCATTTAGAAAACACATACAAAGACAAGAAATCAAATATGTACATGCATATAAACACATTCATGCCAATTAATGCTTGCTGGTAGTAAGCATGGTCGAAGGCTCAGATTTGAGCTGCTAGTGTTTTTCTGTCCAGCTGCACAATAATGTTCTTCTCCCTGTCTGACTTATAGTCCCTTAAGGCATGTAAAGGCTGTTAGTCAGCACACTTCTGACATGTCTCAGAGGAGAGTGATGCAGTCACAGCTGGCATCCACTCAGCATTTCAGCCACTCCAGAGATCTCCCTGCCCTCCATCTCAGCTATCGCTTCACTGATGATCATCTCTTTTCGCCCGTCTCCAACAGTCTATTGGAAGCAGGCACTGGTCCACAGTTGCTCCCAGTATGGTGGGTTATTTATACTGGCAGGAAGCACCAGGGTGCAGCATTCATTTGTGAAAGCCTTCTGCGCCACAACGAACATCTGCAAGTTTATTCTAAGTCTGTATCAATTCCAAGATTGTCCTCACGCATTTGATGAGAGATATCGTGTGGATTTAGGATAAGTGGGGTTTACTTTTTAGGACTGTGGACACAATAAGGTATTATCATCTGATCATGTCTTGAAGCACAATGAGGCATTCCTTCTCTAAACTTGTGAACTCTTATCAATCCATATTGAGAAAGGAACATGAGAAAAGACAATAGTCGGAGATATAATCAAAACTCTTACCTTACATCATGAGAAGTTAATAGTTAAGTCTGTAGCATTTTATCAGATGCCGGTTTCAACTCCTGATTCTATAAAAGCTGACATTTACTGTGCTTTATTTAACATCTTGGTAATTTCTTGAAGAAATTCCTCTAAAGTTTTGTTAAAGAACATACTAAACTTTTTTTCCTTCCGTTATATGCCCAATAGTTGGTTTCCATAGAGACTAAGATAGATAATAGATTATGCTACCAAAAAACTAACATTCCTTTTTTCCCCATTTCATCCTAAATTGCCAGGTTGCGATGGAGTAAAAATGTCTGTGCAAACACCCTGACTTCACCCTCACAGCAGTAAAGAAGAAAAAACTCAATTAACTTTACTTCTAAGAAATTACAGCCCTTTAAATGGACACATGTGACATATTGATATGCAAAGGAAAAATACATGAGTGTCCTCTTACCATCTATCCTCATCATAGAAAATGTAAATGAGTGAATTCCCGACTGTTCCAAAACCACCTAATAGCAGCTTTTGAAGTTTCGCGTGTTATCATTGAACTAATCTATCTCTACTGTAGACTACTTTTAACTCTAAGGTTTAATTTGCTGCCTTTCTGCAACAACAGATATGGACCCACATTCTGCTATTCCAACATTGGATCTTTATCCCCATCTACTGGACAAATCAGAAACGTCCAGCCATACGGAAACGTAAGTGCTGCATATAGTGATAAAACAAAACCAAGAGGTGGATTCCCTTTTCCAGCAGTTACACTACAGATAAGAAGCTGTGAATCAAGTGAAGACGTAAAGTGGAAACCAAAGAAAGACACACATGACTGAATTAAATAAACATTTGAAAAGCATTAGAAATCTTGTGCAAACATTGCATTTAACAATTGAAGGACACAAACCCTTAACGTTTTTTTCCAGAATTTTATTCTTGAAATTATTTTATAAAATCTCATTTACATTAGTTTAATTTAATTTCTCTTCAATATTATATATGTACACATACATATTTTATTCACCAACAGTTTTGGCTATTTTTCCCTTTACACCCCCATTTTATGCCCACACATTGATCATACGATCTACACCCTTCACATACACATTGTGCGATGATCCTCAGTGCAAAGGTAGGTGGGGGCTGGGAGATATGGGTATGGGCCTTGTACAGAGCATGCCAAGAGAAAGGTTACAGAAACAGGGAATGGTAGAGAGGACGCCTAACTACACCATCATTAATATCATTAGGGAAACCACGCAGAGGTAAAGGGAGCATTAACTTCCACTATGACTTGAGTGTTACTAGTGTGAGTTAAACCAATCATGTCTTAATGTCTCAATGCATTCCATGACTTTTGCTGTGCTATTGGTAATTCAGAACCGCTGTTTAATATGATTTGATCTCTACATCTGACATTTCACTTTGACAGTGCCAACAAACTTAACAGCAGCCCTCAAGACTGTTTAGCCCTTTGTAATGATCTTCACGAGTTATCAGCCCTCCGTTCTAAGTCAAAGCCACGTCCCATGGTGAGTGAGTAGGTATCTAAGTTGATGATTTCTTTCTAGGCTTCTTAAAAAGGCCAACATCTACAGACACGAGGCTAAACTTTAGCAAAATCACAGATTTATGTTACATCAACTGTACATCCAGGCAAGCCACAGGATTTTGCTTTCAACTCCAGAGAGATAGTTGTTCTTCATTTGGCAATATGATCACTCTTGCAACATGGCTCAATATGTCTGCAAGTCATCTTTGTTGCTGGTATGATTTCCAAACTAAGCAACTTAAACACAGCTACGATATATAAATAAAAATATGTAAAAGGCTTTATTAAGTGGAAAGAAATTGCACAATTCCCCCAAAGTCATTTAGGTCTTTTTCACACCCAAATGAACTAAAACAGATTCAAAGAATATCAAAGAACCTTGAAACTGCATCAAATTTGTATTAAAATGTCCCTTTTCTAAGTTTTTATGCGATTAAGACATAAAACCTTTTCAGGATTTAAGGTGTAAGGGAAAGGAAGAAGAATAAATAGAACACTGGATATCCCTTCATTAATCATCTATTACTTTGGCTGATACATCTAAGATAACCAGAAAATCTTTTAGATATTTACCTTTATTTCGGTGTACAAAATGTAAACTGCTGCATTGTTCTGTGAAGATACACTGTTGATGTGCTCCATTATAAACCTCATTCCTAATTATTTGCAACGGTAGTTCACTGAATTTCAATACATCACTTTACTATCACTATAGACAATTTAGCCTGGCAAGCACATGTTAATGTTGAACCTAAAGGCTGGTAGGACACAAAACAGAGAAAATGACAACACCAAAAACAAATACTCTGCAGTAAGAGAGAGGAAAAAGCTTAAGGCATTCAGAGGTTATTCCTGACAGAACATAAAGGCTGCCGTAGCCAAAGTTGTCCGTCAAAATAAACCAGACTCACGCTTTTCGAAAACATGAAATGCGATTTAAAATTAGCCCTTGGTGACTCTCAATGGCAATATAAAACCTCTTACATAAAGAATGACAGTTGAAACGCTAAAGGTACCCAATAAAAGTATGGGAATCGGTTATTAATGTAAGCAGAGTATTTACTTAGACATAACGGATGGCATTGTCAAGCATACTAACGAACACTGTCATTTATTCTATAGTCCCTCCATTAATTATCTGTCGAATGTGAGATTTTGCGGCTTTTAGACTCTTAAAAACGTCCCTGGAGAGATATTTTTTTAACTGGCCATAAAGATACTCTGCATGCAGGTGAAACCCCTGTTAAAACAGCCGTGTCATAAAAACTGCGGTTAAAATATGACTAGAAAAGAGCTAGGTATGCTAAGTGGCACGCTCAGCTGCAACTTCTTTTGCAACTGCTTTTTCTGTATTTTGCCGATAGGACAAAAGGGACGCAAGCCTATGGGACAATACAACCTTCCTCTGTAAACCTGAAAAGTTAAGATAACCACACATCCTGTAAGAAACACTCTAAGCCTCAAAACCATGTGTTCAGTTTTTTTGTCTGCTAACTGTAACCAATTAAGGATCATCCTAACTGCGAGGGTGGATGGATCATCCAAGAAAAGAAGTGACTGGTTAAGTTCTTTGTAAGAGGGGAAAGTGTCTACTAGGCAAACACACAAATCACTGAAAATACTTATTTTTTATTCATTTATTTTTCCCCCATTCTGTGGACTGATTTGCAACCACCATATCAAACTGCGTGTGTAAGCTGATGACATTTGAGGTAGACAAAAACCAGGTTTGAAAATGAACTTTTCCACTTTTGTCCAAAACCAAACAATAAGCTCACGTTTTATGGAGTCTTGATTTGTGGCCCCGCATCAGATTTCCTGTGATCGCACCAGGGACTGACTCAACAGCCACTCATCTGGCGAGGCACTGCCACATCATGAACCATGAAGGCTTAAGGAGTGTAATGAAGAGGGAGGCTCGAACACAAAATGAAACCAACGCCTCGCGTCCTCAATATCAAGTCAACAGCAGCATTTAAGCCTCAGCCAGAAACAATTCCAACTTCATTTACAAGGCAAAATGTTGTAAATAGAACATATGGCATCTTACCTGTGTCTCCATATGTTCCTTTGTGATATACCCCACGCCCAAAAACATATGTATACCCAAATAATCCCAACGCCAGACCTCGTGCCCTTTAACAGTCTCACATTGTTCTAGAGAATAAATTAAAAATATATACTATTGTCTTATTTGACTTCCAGTGTTTTTTTTTTCCTACATTTATTTCCAAGTTTTAAAGATCCTCCTTATCACAATGCAAGCTCAGAGGTCTTTACTACACACACGCAAACGCACACACACGCACGCTCACACACTCATATGCATTTTAGAGGAATCTTTAACTGAGCATTTAGGCAAAGTCTATCTGGACAAATATCATTCAACATGAGATTAAATGAAAATTTTTATCCCGTTTCCATTTGAAGAGGGTAAAAATCTTAAGACACTGGGAAGTGCTACAACATCACATGACTACTGAAAAGCAGGTAGCAAGGTAAAATGACAGGAGGAAAAAAAATGAAGGGGTTGTACAAGGCAGAAAGATGGGCAGATATAGCTCTCTGTGGTGTACATGATGCACAAGAGAGTTAGAGAAAACACCAGGGGATGAAAGAGAGGTTTGCGGCTGAACAGCTTCAGTGTAAAGAAAGCTAAAGCAATATTACAAGACCACACTGCAGGCTCAGAGGAGGGGGGGTGGGTATTCTGTCTGCCTGATTCATCGATACACCAGGTGTGTTATGGTGCCAGATTTAAAGTTTAGCTGATGGTTGGGCACAAAGCTGTGCTGAGGATTCTTTCGGGTACATACATCTTTTGCATACAAGCCCATGCATGAGTCACATGACACTTTAGAGCAGTTCACACAGGTGTGTGATGCACCTGGCTTGTTGCAAAACCCACATCGCGGTCCTCCCATGCTTATTCGCTCACTAGTGCTTCCCTTTGGTGTTGTCAAGGCAACCGACTTGCTTGGAAACAATTTGGTAGGTATGAGGGGTTTCTCTACCATCTGAGGGTGAGGGTGGGGATGAGAATGTGAGTGAGTCAGAGTTAGGGGGTGCGGATGGAGGTGGGAGTGAGAATGGGTGTTAGAGTAGACAGAGAGCTTTTCCTTGACAGGGATGTATCCATCAAGGGGTCGTGGGGATTTGGGGTGGTAGTCCTGGAAACCACAACAAGGGGAAGGGTCCACATCATGGCAGGCAGGACAAAGAATCATGTCACACCTCTGACAGGAGGCCATTGAGGAGCAGCCGAGCCCACAGCCCTGACACTTAACACTACCGTGAGCTTTGAGCAGCCACCCATCCCTTGAATCTCGAGGCTCTCTGGATGGAGGTCGAGATGGAGTTTGCCTTCCTCCCATCCCCGCACCACCTCTCTCCGTGTACAGGTCAATTTCATCCAAAGAAGACAGATGGTACGATGTGTAAGGATCAGACGGGGGAGGTGATTGAATTGGGAAAAAGTCTGCAACTGGACTATAGGAAGGTGGGCCCGCAACAGAGAAAAAAGATGCTGAGGTGCTCGGCCTGAGGATCTCATCCTTCATATCCTCCTCTGCATCCACAAACAGAGGCTCCTTCCTTAGACTCAATGAGGCCTTCAAAATAGGCTTGTTAACAGCTGCGTGCCAGTGACCAGCCCCATCTGTAACATCCACAGACTTAGATGGTCGGCTACCTCGCCTCAGGTGATGGGCATGAGGCCGTTCTATATCCAACGGTCGCACAGACAGCCGAGACATATCTGCCCCGAGACTGTCACGTCTGCGGAGAGCCTCAGCACAGCCAGCTGCATCATCCCGGCAACCTCTCCGGAGCTCCACAGCCTCCAGCTCTGAGGCTGAGCCGCGGGCCAATGCCACTATCTCTCCCAGAAGACGACATTCTGCTTGGGCCAGGAAGAGCTCAAACGCCAACTGCCGCAGATGATTAGCGCCCCCTGAGTGCTCCTGCAAATAGAACTGCGAGTCGTGGTCACAGGCATATCCGATGGTGCGCATCAGAGCTCGGAGTTCAGCATCAGAAATGGCCGACTGCAGATGGTACACATATGGGCCAGTGAAGGTCTAAAAAACAGATTGGTAAGTCAGGATTAAACCCTCTTAAATTAAGATGCATTGACATTCAAAGTGAAAACATGAAAAAAGATGACCTCGTGCTATTCTGGTGTTATCTGGCCCATCATTATAAGAAGCTTACACAAGGCTATTAGGCATGCATCTTTGTGTGATGCAGAGCTGCTAAACAGCTAAACTAAAACTAACTGCAGGAACCATCAACTTCCTTTCTTATAAGTTATAATAAATTATGGATCGGAAATGGGTTGTTAACAGATCAGCATTTTGGATATATGTTTGACTAATAAAATCTCTCATGTTAATACACTTGGCTTACTATCTTCAATGAGAACATATAAATCAGTGTGGCTTAGGACCATTTACAACAATAGTATAATAGAGGGCCGAACAGGTTTGCACATGACTGATCACTAAAAACATTAATGAACATTATTATTTTATTTCACAGGCTATGTATTACTTCACAAGTGCTTGTAACAAGTGCTCTTAATTCTTTTTTTAATAATAATGTTGCGGATATAAATCAAACTCACCTTGATACATCTGAACTCCTTCTTCCAGGGGAAGAGCAACAGGTTGGTGCAAATGGTTTCCAAGGTGTGGAAGGCTCTCTCAAGGCTCTTGATGTTGCCTCCCCTCTGGCTGCGGAGTGAAATCTCCACCACCTCATAGAAACGGAGCATGCGAAATCGCTGTCCAGGATCTGGCTGGTAGGCTCCAAGAAGAGCTGTTGCTGTGGAAAGCAGGGCTTTGCCGTCCTTGTGTCTACTTTTGTCTCCATCTTGTGTGCTTCCAGTGCATGTGTACTCAGCCCCCTCGAGTCGCCTCTCCAGTGCAGTCACATATCTCCGAAATAGGTCCTCTTTTAGCTTAGCATCCATTATTGGCAGCAGACCATCAGTCAGCTGATACACTTTTCTGAGAGAGCCTCCCCCCTTTAGGCACACCCTGCATTAGGATGCTGCATTCAAGCACCATTTTTCATCACCATAATTCACTTTCCACCCCAGCTCACGCACAAGTTTAATGTTCTGGAGAGATGAGGGAGGAGTGGGACTTTAAAGACACTCAGGAGCACGTCATTTAAGCAGCAAATGCAGCTGTTTGACGTTTCAGTTGGTGTTGCCGGGTTTCAGTCTGTGTGGATACCTCCAAACAGGCATCTCTGCTATATGCTCAAAGCATAACTTGTTTCCAAGCAAACGGGCTTATGCAATACCAGATGAAGTCAGGAGAAGTTCTTACTTTGCTCTCTGTTAATGCAGAGTGTAATCTACTCTGCTCCTTGGCGACAGCATCCACAGAGTTCAAGGTCACTCATCTAGAAGACACATTCTGGATTACATCATTCTTCTCTGGCATCTCCGAGCTGTAATGACAGGTCAGCATTATCAGGATGTAAATCTTTCATCAAAAAGAGTAACTAAGGAACAATATTTTAAACTAAGTTTTAAAATAATATACATTTCTTAATATCTTCTTGTGCACTTTCATTATAATAGTTCGAACAACAGATAATGGGAGAGAAGCAATACAAATTTGAAGCAGCATCTTGGTTCGAGTGGGATGCAGTGAAGATGCCTGCGTGGGCTATTTAGTGTCAGTCACTCTACTAAAAGGTTAGACATGCGCATAGTTATCATGATGTAAACAACCAAGAATGAGATTAGGGCAATCATAGTCTAGATAAGCAAGTTAGAGCTGAAATACATTCCTACTTTCTGACCTGTATTTTCTGAATTTGCATCTGTAAAAAAAATGGCTGTCATTCACAGAATGACTGCGAAACGTGTTAACTATTAACCTATTAGATCAAACTCACAACTTGGCCACTGGCATGTTTTCAGGACTCCATTGTGCTATGAGGCTTTAATCCCAAAAGAGGAAGGAAGTGCTTGCTGGCCGGCTATTCCAGTTTTTTCACAGCCACTATGAACATCCGTGGAGGGAGCTAGCAAGCAACACCAACACACTTCTCCACGCGCATCAGTGACGTATAAATCAGTTACCGTCACAAATGATTGAAACCATATAAAAGAACAGCGTTTACGTTGATCCCTCGTCCATCTCAATCCCGAAACTCTCAATGGCATGGGCCCCCAACTGAGTATAGAATAAGCAGTGAACGCCCATTTCGGCGCAGCTGCCTAGCTTACAATTGCTTTTAGCTAATAGGGCGTTCCATCGCTACATGGAGGTCTTTCGTGAGCTTGGAGTCACATATCATCATATAGACTGTATCAGTAGTATAGTTACAGTACAATCGAAGGTTATTATTCTTCAACTAAATGTCCGAACCATCTTCGACACAAAAATGCCAGCTCCATGAGCCTTACCTGTAACAAGTACTAGCCGAGGCTAGCTACGCCTCCTCAGCTGTAGAAAATTCCCTTAATCGCAGTACGCATGCGCCAGGTCCTGAGACTTCATCGGCATCACGAGCCCACGTGCCTGGTAGGAGGTGCGCAGAGACCATCCACAGTATGATCCACAGCACCACAGAGGGAGCAGGAGTAGTTACATTACTGGAGCATTTTTCTTTATTTTCTTGCAAAATTGGGCACTTGTTTGATATAATATTTGATAAGAGAGTGCAAAAACAAATCAGTATTAAAGTCAATGAATAATTAGAGCCTTATGTATTTCATCTTACCAAAAAAAGGGGAAAAGCACATTTCCACCAACTGCACTTAGACCCAAAGCTTTCTTTATCCCTGAACAAAACAGAAGGACACTAAAATCAGGTGGTCCACCTCACCCTTATATATGTAATGGGTTTGTTGTGATTTTATTTGAGCCTTAGAGTAGCCTTTGGAATAATTGGAAATCAACATTTTATTGTTGGTAAATCTTTATCACAAATATGGTTTTTGTATGTTTATTTTGTGTCCTGCTGTAAAAGATTAACAGGGTTGTAATTTCACTTTAATCTATCTGACCCCTCCAGAGCCATAGGGGCTCATATTCAAGCCTTTGAGCAAAACCACTGCACAACAATCACTAACTATTTTTTCCCTGATCAAACTGCTTCCGTGTCTGATAGTTAAACTTTAAAGTTGCCACAGTACTTATAAAAGCTTGTTGTGGTTACTGACACAAATAGCTGTTCCAGCCATACAACTTACAAAAGAAAAAAAGAGCTATTGCAGATAAAATATAAACAACAAAATTTGAAAAGAAGAAAGTTCAGCTCCATAAGGCCCCTCTCAAAGGCCTCGTGTACTTAAAGTGTGTGATGGCACTTTCCAACCAAGTTAGGGGTGAAATTTACCCGCTGGTTCCCATCGAGGTGGGGAATTAACGTAATCTTTTAGGAGTGAGACCCTTAAAATGATTCTAACTCCTGGAAGGGGAAATGCAGCTGATGATTTTGTTTCCATTTGTTTTTTATAATTTTGATATTTACACACAACTAAAAAGGACTCAAATCACTTTTCCATGGGCATGGGAACGTGTGACTTGTACCAATCTTATGAACGAGGACCAACTTATGATATAAAAGAATCTGACTTAATTGTAATGAAAAAAGAACAATATTTAAGACACATTTGATAATGTAAAGCTATCTATTAAATGTCTGCTTACACAGTGTCTGGTTTGTCACTTGTCCTGATAATAATAATGTCATGTGTTAAACGGACTATTTCCAGCGTTGGCTCCGCCCTTGAGCTTAAAGACAGAACCAGAGGCCGGTGACGTCGCTACGGGGACGGTCGGTGCTGTTGGGGATTGACTCAGTGAAGAAAAGAAATGGCGATGCTCGGAGGTTTTACAGCAGCCCAGCACAAGAAAATCGTCTCTGACGGCAGCAACGACGTGTCAGAATTCATCTGTCCAGTGTGTCTCGAAATTTTCGAGAGTCCCGTAACGACACAATGCGGTCATACGTGAGTATTTTGTCTTGTTTTTGACCACCATCCCCCTATCCCACGTCTGCCACCAGCGATGCAGAGATACGAGTTAAAAACAAAGACGGAAAAGGCTTGAGTTTGAACAGTCTGTGACGCCAGAGCCACAGACCGTCGACCTTGCGTGTGCCGGCTTGTCTTGTAACTCTGTAATTCTGCTTTTCTTCTGTACATATGTAGCAAAAGCAATTATATCCTGCTACATCAGTTTCAGTTTTGTTTACACCAAGGAGAAGGCCTTACTTGGGAGTTGTAGTTTGGATCTTTGTTGTCACAGCCTATTGAACCGGCGTAAAGAACTACAAATCCCTGCGCTCTCTTGGGGTGGGGACTTTCCTTCAGATTTACAGGAAGCCCAAGTCTGAAGCGTAGTTAATGAACAACAATTGTTTTCTCATGGTAAACGCAATGTTACAGAATATGAGCAACATAGAAGGTTATGCATTATGTTAAATAGAGTCCAAATAAAACTGTCAGTTTTCTGAAATGAACCAAATCCTTTGTTTAATATCATCACATTTCTTCCCCTATGTCTTGTCAGGTTCTGCCAGAGTTGTTTTCAAGAATGCTTGCGTCCACAAAAGCCTGTGTGTGCTGTATGTAGGGCCACTCTGGGCCACTGCACAAAAGCCGTTGATCTAGAAGCCCTCATCCACTCATCTGTGGCCGCTTGTAAAGGATGTAGAGTCCAGGTATGTTTGATTATTAGTCCAACGACTTAAAAAGGCATCACAATTACCTCTGCTGGTTTGTTGTGAACTGGATTTTGTTTTAAGATCAGTCATCGATTACATATGCTCATATACAATCATAGACTGATTCTAAGACTGAGTTTTTCTATTCAAACAGTTACCAAATTCTATCTGAAAATAAATATTTCAAAATGACGAAATAGCAATTTGCCATGGCCCGTAGTCACAATTGTGTGTTTTCTCACAAGGTTGGCCTTTCTCAGATGAGAAGCCACACAGCTGCCTGTCCAAAATACCAGGAGTACATTGAGGAGGGTGTGAGGACCACTGCCCAGAGCCAGCCAACCGTCATTAGGTGAGGGACTGTTAGACAGACAGAGGAGCGCGTTCAGCAGCAGGCTGCTGGCTCTGACTGAAGAGCTCTGTTGTCCTCCGGCCATAAGTCTGTACAACTCTGCACTGGGTGGACAGGGAGGATCATGATTAAACCCACACTCTCATCTAAAACTGTTTGCGCATGAGCACATTGCACACTTTAGATTTAGCCTTTTTGCATCTATGTAGCTGGTGAATATTTAGAATTTCTTCCAGACTGTCTGTCTGTCTATCAATCAAAAGCAACTGGAAAAACTCATCTTATCACATTTTAACTAGTATAGTAGACAGCTGTTACACACCATTGCGCACATCAGTGAGTAGATTATTTATGGGATAGTAGCCACTTCAAGAGTTCCATTAACACATTCTTTTCAATGTGGAATATTATTTTGCTCTTTCAATTTCAATTTTTAGTGCTTTGACTTTGATTGAGTTGCAAATGCGGAGGGGAACTGTCATTTCGGTGTCTGGTGGCACACACAGGTTCAGCGTGAGCGGAACTTCAGATTTAGCTCCCCTGAATAAATCATGCTCTCCTCAAAACCACAGAAAGAGAGAGATGAGACCACAGTCTAAATTTTCCCTTTTTTTCTGGACATAAAAACCCTTTATAAGCATGTATTGCTTTCTATTTATTTGCTGTCAACTAAATATGTTGATGGCATGTCTAAAAGCCCCCTTTTCCCCTCCTCAGGATGGTCCTCTGTTTCTGTCTGACAGGGTCAGCCCAAGCAGCATATGACTTTTACATGGCATGAGCTGCTCACTGGGATGCAGATCCACATCAAACAAGTAGTAGTCCTGATGGCAGAATGAGCTTAACCATGTTTCCACCTGCATCAATCCTCTGGCATAATTTGACACAACCGTTGCCTGCTGTGAATTAAAGTGTCGATATCACATGACTTCTGTCGCTTTCTAAAATAAGTTGGGAGACATCAACAGAAAAATGACCCATGTGAGAATGACTGCTTGGTGCTCTGGGTTCCTGCCATATGGCTCAAAGTGAGAGGAAGATCATATTTAGCTCCTCTGAATCAGATATTAGCTTCATCACTCTGCTAACGTAGCGGCAAGCAAAGTACAAAATCTGTCTAAAAAAAGAGCAGCATGCGGGCTTCAAGTTAAGTTTAGCCTTTGATTGTTTTGGGCAGCTTTCTGTAGCTTTAAACAATTAATCTGTCAGACTTTCAAGGTAATCACATAATGTCTTTTTTTATTTTATTAAAGATGTTTCCTACATTTCTATTTCTTCATTGTTCATTAACTCTACCTCTGTTCTCTAATAAGAACTAGACTTTTGTATGGGGCTGACTACACATCTTCTGTTTTTGTACAAACAGCGATATGATGAGACAACAGAGATGGCGCACATTTGGTTTAAAAGTCTGCTCACGAATATGATCTGGATGTTCTGTAATGTAGTCATGGTCACACATTTATAGTGATTTTGATCAAAGATTGTTATCTCTGCCTCTCCGCCTCAGTCCAGTGCCAAATCGATACACCTTCACTTGTCCCTACTGCAACTGCCCGAACCTCGACCAGGATGGCCTGGTGGAACATTGCACTTCCCAACATGCTCGTGACACACGCCAAGTTGTAAGAAACTAACACTCAACATTTATTCTATCAGGCACTTGTGGGTGCCACACTTCTCTTTATTTTATTTTTCTTTGTATAAACTTTTTGTGTAGATATGGTCAATAAAATGTTATTAAAACTCTGACTTTGTTTAGGTGTGCCCTATCTGTGCCTCGATGCCTTGGGGAGACCCAAATTACAGGAGTGCAGACTTTTTCCAGCACCTGAAGATCCGACATACTTTCTCATATGACACATTTGTTGTAAGTAAAGCACCATTTGCTGTTTTTTTTATTTTTTATAAAGAAAATAAAATATTTTGCTTTGTTTTTTTCCCCCCATCCTCCAGGATTACTCCACAGACGAGCATACAATGATTCAGGAGGCTTTACAGCGCTCCCTTTTGGACAACTGAAGGAGAAAGACACATGGAAGCAATCCAGCTGCAGGAAGCCGGAGAAGAGATCGTCTCCAAAAGACATAAAAACACACTGTATCATCATTCATCTTTCTTGAAGATGGTGGTACTTTATTTCTATGGGTGATTATTTTTGCAGGGAACTGGTATTGTATCTATGAATCTATAGGTTAATATTCAGAAAATAAATTAGGCAATATGGCTAAAATATTGGACTGTTTGACTTACCAGTGATACCGTGTTTCTGGTGTGAAAATTTCTCACCTAAGCTGAGTCTGTAGACTTGATAGTTTGTTGAGTATCTCCTTAACTATATTTAAGTGTTTGGTCAGTCCTGACCTGGTGTCATATAACCAAAAGCTTCCAAAGTTGTGAAAAAAATCCCTGCTGTCAATACTTGATGTTATAGGAGGGTTTGACCACTAGGTGGCTGACTTTTACTAGCAAACAAGAATCTTCACTCAAGCAACAATAATATAAACGGTAAAATTGTACTCCAGAATGGTTGTGCATGTAAACACTCACAGGAGAAAATGGGATTGTCCTTATTGTTTTGTTCCGTTCTATCGTGGGCTAAATGTGTTGTGTTATTTTTGTTTCGTTATAACTGATTTATCTCGATAAAGTGTGTGTGCGTATGTGTTCCTTTTTGGTTTGGGTTTTTTGAGATCTACTGGAAAGAATAAATTATATGAGAGTCAAACAAAGCCACAGAAGGCTGTTTGCTTCATTGTAGTGTTCCTCCTTTATGTCTTTGTGCCTTCTGGTAGATCTTGTTTCTGACTTCCACAATTTATAGGGCTAATAGTTAATCCTAGGAATGGATGAAGAAGGAGAAGATTAATGAATTATTATAGTTTAGTGTGTTGTTTTTTCCCCCCACACCTTTTGGTGAGAAATTTTCTTATTTCTTGCCACAGGAGGGCAGTAGACTTCTACCTTTTTTTACTATCCTGATAACTCCTGGTTCTTGCAAGACATTAATCAACACTTTTTTCCTTGGAATTATTTTTCTCCGGCTTAGTTCTTAACTGTCCCCCCATTACAGATGCAGCAGACACAAATGTTAAAGGTATTTCAATTTCCTTGGACTTTTCAGAAACACATTATCTACAATATTGCGTCAAGGCAATTGATGAGGTAACCTAACACGTTACTCGCTGTAGTTTTTTCTTATTTCCGGTGCTTGGGACAGTAAAGGAATACACTCAAGTTTGTCGTGGCTTGTATATCTCGACTACAAAATCCAATTTATTATTGGAAGCTTCCTAAAACTGACGGCATGTGTAGTCAAATGTTTTTGTTACGGGATTGTTTTCATTTCTAACTGTACATTTGGTCTCTTGATGTTTTCCAATAACTTGTATTTGTCTCGGATCAACCTCATATTGTAATACAAAGTTTCACAGTTACATTGCATTTGTCTTCTTCCAACAGGTAAATAAAACTGACATGCAGACAACGTAGTGGAAGAGCACAACATTAATGCCTTTTCAGCCACACGTTGGTTCGACTTTGGCCTATTTTGGACCTGTTTCTAACATGTAAGGGTTCTTTTTTTCTTCTTCTTTTTTTTACTTTCATCTCAGCCCTACTGTCAGGGGATTCTAAATCCTGATAAATTAAAGCTCTTTAATTATTTAAACCGTAGCCCCAAAAATCAGGCACTGTGATTTATGTCTGTGTGTATGAGATGTGGGGGAAGAAACAACACTTGCCGCTGATGGATGACCACCTTACTTGTGGTCACAAATGTGAAAATATTTGTGAGCAAAAGCAGTTAAAAGCAAAGTATGCTGCGTCAAGAGAGTTGATTCGTCACTATAAGGTGTGTTCGTGGTGGGAACTGGCAGAGTTTTTTTGTTTAAATTGAGGCTTTCTACAAACCTTTGTTCAAACCTTTGTTCATGTATTAGAAGTCTCGGCAGTGTTGTGTCATACTGACAATTATCTTGCAATGCGTCTTTGCATGTGCTAACTTTGTGATGAAACCTGTGCATATATTGTCCACAGGGAGAGAAAATCCTCTCATCTCTTTCCCGTAGAGCCGCGTATCTCTAATCACTGTAGCTAAATGAAATTACGGCTTTATATGCAGCTCTACCAAGGATCTCCCCCACTAAACTCATGTCAGCCCCCCTTTCTTTATCTATTCTCTTCTCTTTATTTCCCACAATCATGTTTTTGCTCCTGGCAGAGAAGTGATGTTAGCTATGAGAGAACTAACGAGATATTCAAATGCTCCTGGGCAGGAAGGAAGTCAAGCCGAAAAACATGGCAGAAAGAAGTCTTTCTTGTCTGTTTGGTGGCACAGCTTAAAAGAGAGAAGAGGCTAAGGTGGGGAATGAGAAAAGGAAGAAAGAGAAGGGGGGGTAGGAAGAGAATTTAACACAATGAATAAAAATTTCATAAAGTTCACTGTGTGGCTTCTTTGATGCAAGTAGTAGATGGTGTGTGCAGTCTGCAGGCTCTATGGAGGCAGCAATTAATGCTACATGTGCCTGAAGGCACACATTGAGAAGCATGGGGATGCGGGATTGTTTTAAAATAAGTGTGTCGGGCCATCAGTCTAATCAAGGAACCTCTTTGCCAGTCTATTGTTTTTATTGTGTATCATAAATCTTCTCTCCCACCTACTGTAAGTCTTTACCACTGAAGGGGGCTGTAATGGAAATTATGCTTCCCTGAATATCTAAGTTTATTCTCCTTGATTACTTTAAAATGATACCCCACATGATCATTCTAAAGATTCACAGAGCTACTTCTGTAGCATTCTGTAAGATTGTTGTAATTACACAACTGTGGGCCGTTCTATGTCAAAACCATGCAGCACACAGCTTTAGAAATGACAAATTCTTGGCTTTTTAACAAATTATTCACAACATTTTTAATAGCTCTTTTTTTTTCATTTTGGACCTTGTTTTCTTTGTGGTTTGATCTGTTTCACTACTGTCTTTTTCTGTGCTCTAACTAAGGGTTTGACCATAGAAAGATGGGTGGTGTAGAAATCTAGAATTCCGGAGGAGTAGTTTGTATCTATTAGCTGCTGATTTTACAGGAAGCCTGCATCTGTGATCTTATAGGTTGAAATTATATGTTAGAGGAGAAAAGAACTTCTGAAATTCCTGGGAAGTTCTCTTTTTTCGTCTATCTCAGGTTTTGCTGAGCCAGGTTTCTGTGATGAGGTATAAAGCGTACGAGGAGAGCACTGGGAGTATCTTCACCAAAAAAAAATTCCTCAAAGTCAGAAAAAAAAAAGGAAGAGCAGGAATCCTGGCACCCGGCGCTGCAGCTTGGTAGGTTGGTCTTCTCACATGTTTGAACAGAATGCGCCAGTGGGCATCCCCAACTTCAATACTAGTTCTACAACGACTTGTCTTCCGCTTTTAAACTATGAACAGCCGACCCCCTACCCCAACCAGACACACACTCCTTGTGTTGCTAGCCTGAAAGCATCACGTCTTAACTTTGATTTCATTATGCCTGCAACCATGTTGGCCCTGTATCAGCTTAAGTGAAACTTGCACACTGTGTGTGTGTGAGGCTATTTATATATTTAATTTGCCTCCAAACACTCAAAACCTATAAATATTATGCCTCTTGATCACTTTTTGCATACTCTTTTTAGCAAATGAAGAGAATATAAGTCAATCCCTCTCGGGGTCATTGTGTGTCCTATAATGCTGTCAAAAACATAGTGAGAGGACCTCCATTTACCAGTTTCGGTATTCTCTGTTTCAGCTTGGGAAGTTCTCAAAATCACTGTTTCTGCAGAAATATTCACCTGGAAGTGAAAATGAATATGAAACACAGTGATAGAACTATCGGGGGATTTGCTAATCATTGCCTCTTCATTTATTTATTTATTTGAAATCCGCACTGCCACTGTGCTAATATTTGAAAGCCTGGCCCTCTAAGGTGTAATGGAAGGCAGAACGGGAAAAGTCCCTGGTGTGTGCATGTGTGTGTATGTGTATGTGTCTGTGTCACAACATAATATCAAGCCAAGTAAGGCAAATTGATCTAAGTTTCCTTCCCCCTGTGTCTTTACCCCTGTAGACCAACTAAGATGTGCGTGGAAGTGAGAAAAAGCCTAAGGCTATTATTCCCCCATTAATTTTTCCATTTGAAATCAAACCTCAGTGGATGTGCATTGCATGAAGGGATAGGGAGGGGATGTGGACTGGGGTGGGGATGACCTCATCCAGATAGAGGTACAAAGGTTGAATGTAACAGCACCAACATCCAACAGGGAAGGCAATTTCACTTTCACAGATATGTTCATGATTTGTCAGGACTGTCTTTGCTTCCTTTCTTGGTCCAACAAACTCCCAGGGAAAGGGCCCAACATAAAGACAGTGTTTAAGTTGGTTTTTCTTTGCGCCACTATTATGAGGAAAGAAACACAAAGATACTCTTTCATCAGCATAACTGTTCTCTTTTGAAGAGTCTACATTATTTTCCAATTTGAAAATCATAAAAAAGCTTCAAATTCACAAACATGCCTTGCAACTCTGTACTTCTCAGCACTTTGGAGGGGACCTGTTAACCTCCATTCCTCCTTCCTAGCTACCCACACAAATACAAACCTCCTCAACCTCACACTTCTCCTTCATTTCAAATCACTCCTTTCCACCCTGTGTTCCCCAGTCTTTCTTTGAAAAAGCGCCAGTGCTTGCTAATCTGTCAATCAGATGTTGTCCTGTTTTGGTGATGATGGAGGTATGTGTGTGTGTGTGTGTGTGTGTGTGTGATGTTGGGGCATACATCTCCAGGAGCTTGTGGTTCAGAGTGGCTCGATGATTAACCAGGCAGGTAGTGAGTCAAAGTGCTGACAGCAGAAACACTTTGACAGCTGATTTGAAAGACAATAGTTCCACTCCCTCTACTTAACTTGTCACAGTAGTCAAAGCACCTTCTCAATTAACATGTGACGTATCTGGAAATATGAGGGTTGTTTCCCTGCTTTTGGTACCAAACAAGTTACAAACAAATTCTTTGAAATCACTTATAAAGATGCTATTTTCCCTATTTTTCATTTTTGTAAATAATGATCTTCTTCTGCTCTGGTCTCAGTGTTTGAGCGGAGGTCCATGTGAGGCGACGGCTGTGCTGTCAGAGCTACAGCAGCTCATGAACCAAAAACCTAGCAACGTCTTACTCCTCAGTTTAATAGTCCAACACTTCCCAATTATTAACCACCCCTGTAGTGCGCCATTCATATTCACAGCTCTTTTTTTGCCTCCCTCTACTTCCTGTGCTTTGTATGTTGTGTGGAGGGAATGGACGATGCAGGCAGATCTGTCAGTCAAATCGTAGCCCCCTCAACCATCAGAGGCTGCCCACAGACAGACGTCCATACACCTCCACCGACTGCGATTCCTCCTCAGCTCAATGAGTAACTAACCTGCAGGTACTGAATCAAACTGCTGACAAGCAGATGGAGGGGAGTGGAGGGCTGATGTAGGGAGATGGGGGCTGTGTAGGTGGATGGAGAGAAAGATAGAAAAAGGGGGGAGGACAGAGATGACAATGGCATCATTTTACAGCCCACCTAAGTGATGTAACCTTTAACTTTGCAAAGAAAGATGGGTCCCTCTCCTAATCCAGCCCCAACTTCAACCCCCCCCCCCCTCATTTCTCCATCTCACGCTGTAAGTAGCAGCCTTTGATGGGCTGTCCCTGTCTCTCATCTTGTCCTCTTAGACAGATGAGCAGTGTCAGTGCTGTCATCACTGCCCAGCTAAACATTAATGACTCTCTCGCCTGACAAGTGATGGTGGGGCAGCGAAGGGGTGAAAGGGGGACGCCCCTGGACAAAACCACAGATGAAAAGGAGAAGTGATGGCTTTATCTGCTTGACACTTTCCCTTTTGTCTTTCTGAACTTGCGTATATTTATGTGTGCCATCAGCAGATTCTTGGTTTGACGTGATGGTTTTATTGCCCTGTTTTTTCTTCCCTTACCAGGAGACGAAAGTCTTTGTATTCACACGGCTTCTCATCCTTTCCACTGGAATGTTTGGCATTCCTTCAAGTTGCTATATACATATATGCAAAAATCTGTGCACAAACACGCACATATCAGCATGGGTTTGTTTTAAACTTTCTGGACATTGATACTGGGATCTGTTGGACTGGTGACAGATGATCACAGTTGAGAATCATCCTTGAGGGTGGTGAGAAAGGAAAAAAGGCCAGAGAAAATATAAGTGGTTGGTGTAATCTGTGTTTTTGTTATTATTATTTATTTTATCATTATTTTAGAATATAACACACCTTAATTACATGTTATTCTGTCTTTAAAGCTATACTTTATACCTGTAGTTTAAATTCCAATTTATGTGGCTTGCCTCCATTCTCCCTACCTCTTTGCTCACTGTTTCCATCTTTTCACTCCTGCTGTTGTCACTCAGGCTTATAACCTCTTTTCCCTGCTTTCTTTTGAATTATTAAATCCAAGGCTCAGTGAAGTGAAGTGGTACTGCTGAGTTGACACAGAACATATCTGACTTCTCATTACCCACTTTTTGAACGTTAAAGGGATTATGTTGTTGGTCTCATAAGTCACTGACCCACCGCACATTCAAACACTTAAATAAATGCACATATATTGACCTGTAAGTGCACAAGACTTTTGGACTGTTCTTCCGAATAATGTTGTATTAAAGTCTAATTTCAAAATGGATTTATTTCCTTTTTAATATCAATATGTCTTAACATTGCCCTCCAAAATAGCACTTTAGCTTTATATTGCAGTGTTATGTTAATAAATTATATCCAAAGTCCATTCAAATAAAACAATTACCATTTTGGGATCACACTTAAAGGGTTCATTACTTATTTCTTTGACATTGATTGTTTAATTATTTCACTTGATGGGAATCAATTCCCACTAACAGAGCTATCCGGTAAAGATAAACAGTTCTTTACAAAGTTTCACAAATGGTAGTATGGAAAGAATGGATCAGGTCTTTGAGATATAATTTTTGTCAAGCCACAGATCTGGAGATGATATGGAAACATTTCGTAAATAGACAAAATGGAAATTCCAATAAACTTCCTGTATTAATGTGTAGATGTACATAAGACAAAGTCATATGGAACAAATTGACTTGGTCGGTCAGGCAACAATTGTGCATTTGGCCCAAAGTTTGCTCTAGAGAAGAGAGCATTATATAATAACCATGTGTGCAAACTTTCATCAGTCAGGGTTTTATTGTAGAGTGATAATATCAAGGAATTTGAGAAAATTGAGAAACTCACCAAAACAGCTCTCAAATAACAAGCGTCATAATCCTGTTATCTAGCAAAACCAAAATGTATTAATCTGACTGCAGTTGCCAACATGATTTGTGAAAGAAAATGATC